TTTCCATGCGTCTTTGTAGTTTTTTTCATGATGAAGCTCAATTCCTTTTTTAAGATCCATTACCAAGTTAATTGACGTTATTTCTTCTTCTTCTACCTCGAAATTATAACTACCATCCTTTAACAGCATAGGATCTTCTACTCGAATAGGATAGCTTGATGCCAATTCCTCAAGCTTCGAATGAAGCTTCTGAATTTCTATTCTTTGTTCCGGTATTTGTTTCCACACTATAGTCGATTGAGAAAATTAAGTCATTAAAGTCAATTGAGTAACTTCAAATTATTTATTTGTAACCTTACTTTTTGCAATTAAGGTAATAAATTCTTCTTGAATTTCTTTGTCCTCAGTGTTTACAAATTTTCCACGCACAAGTTTTTCTCGGTTACCACTTAAAACTTGTCTTGAAATTTTTTCGGGATTCCAATTTTTATACGGAGATTTTTCATAACAAAGCTCCCAAAAAAGCATTCCGAAACTAATTGCAAAGGGCAATTTAAAATAATGAAAACCTTTGAGGAAATTATAATGTCAGATAACAAATACCTAAACATTTCACAATTGAATGTGTAAACATTTTCTTTATATTTTTCATCCATGTATTTTTTTATCAGCTCTGGGGCCATCCAATTATAAATAATTTTTACTACATTCGAAAGGTTCTTTGTTTCTGCTCCTTTCTTACGCGCGTATTTAAAATTTCCAAGTTTTGGTTCCAGGTTCCGTGTCATCTGTAGACCACATTAAGTTATTGTTCGACATCAATGTGCGACACATGAAGTATATTGATGCCACTTACTAAAACATTTTCGCATCTAAGATCGTGATGGAAAAGGTCTGAATTACGCAAAAACACAAGGCCACAACAAATATCACGAATAATTTGAATTTTTCTATGCCATGGAATATAATATCCTTCGTAAATATCTTTTAGAGAACCATATTCGGCCCATTCAAAAACCATGACATCTCTGGTATCAACTTTGGAAAGACCATAAAAGCGGAGGATGTATGGGCAAACTGAGGTCAGATTTTGAAGCGTTACTAAAATACTTTCGGTATAGCTAGATTCATTAAAATCTTTGCATCTAACTTCAATAGCTTTATAGAACTTTTTAACGGCCCTTGTATTTTGTCTGGATAAAGCAGGAGGATCGGTCAATTCACTTGAGTCAATTCTTTTTGGTTCAACGTCAGGTTGCGTTTTAGACGAAAGTTCTAATTTTTTAACCATAATTTCTGATTTTTTATTGACTTCTTGAAATTCATGTTGAACATCGTATTTAACATCTTGAAACCCGTATTTAATTTCATGTTTAGCATCTTGAAATCCGTGCTCAACTTCTTGTTTAACATATTGAATTTCGACACATAGTATTTTGAATGTCTAAAATGAATTATCAAATAAACTTTAATTTTAGGTATTTCCGGATTAAAAAAATTTTGGTATACGGTCAACTCTCGATAATAGAAACTGTATACAAATAGCCTATATACATATGTTGATAATCGAAGCATTAATTGAAAGTAGTACGATCGTCAAAAATTTTCCGGGTCCCGGTTTACTCGATATGTCTCTCGATAAATGTCCTTTAAAATTATCGAAGTTGATGCGTTTAATGATGTGCATTAATTAAACTATTTATAGTATAATGCACATGATTAAATATGAGGACATTTATCGAGAGTTGACTTGTACATTTAAATTTTATAGTTTTCGAAGAATTATTGACAATATACTGTAGTAACTTTATTAACCTCCGCTTTCCATTTCAATATCTTTGCTCTTGCCTTTCACTAATAACAAAAAATGATTCCATCTGTCTGATAAGATCCTTGAGCAATTCGATCGTCCAGAAAATAAAAGACGGATAAGATGTAAACAATTAACTATCAAGACAGCTAAAGTATGAGAGAAATATAAATAACAAATGTTATAAGACGTCACCGAGGGAGAATGTGTACCTCGTACGGGAATCAGATGAGCATCATTTATAATATTATATAGAAGACCAAGTTTCTAAATTTAAATGTTATAATAATGTTCTTAAGGAGGTAATTATTTCTTTGTACAATAATTAGCCAAAATTAAACGTTACGTAACATTGATGTGGCTATCGGTGAGTCTGTCGCTTTTCCTGGCAAAAACTCCGCGTAAAAACAGGTAAGGCGTGTGATTTGACATGACCGACTCTCCTTTCTAACTAATTCCCTCTTCTTTTGCCCACTGCTTCTCTTGATAAAACCTTGGTCACAAATCCCTTTTAAATTAGGTATTTTTTAATTAAGGTCTTTTTATTGTCTTTTTTTCGTTACCCATCACGCCCCGTCCTTCTCTTTTATTTATTTCTTTTTATGACATTTCTAGAGACAATACGACTATCATACAGTATTACTAATATAAGCAATAGTTTATTGATGTCCACAATAATGAAGTTTATTTTGACTTCCTATGACCACTACTTTTCATGTATAACATCGTTTTTACTCAATAGACTATCCTCCCCCAATAATCCTAAAAATTCAGGGTACGCGATAGCGGCCCATAAAGTTTACCCACCAACAATAACAAAAGAAAACTTTTTTATGCAGATAATTAGTCAAGATCTAAAATAAATGCAAAGTTTCTCGAACATAAAATACTAATGTTACAGTATTTAAGTTATAAAAGAGAAATTCGTCTATTTTAAGAACCTGATAATTTGATTTAGACTTTATTTATAAGAGTAGATATATATTTAAAAAAAAAACTCGAGAGCATTTCGAGAAAAAAAAATACGGTAATGTGATAACAGATCGATTTCCTAACGACAGGCTACAGTATAAATAATAAATTTTTAAAATCGTTTAGAGAATGTTGTTATAAAAACAAATATAATAAATTATACTTACCGTCTAACAGTTCAGTGAAATACATAAGTTAGAAATAGAACGATGTTATTTAGAAAATAAATATAATAAAACTTATACTCACCCGCTAATAGTTTAATAAAACAAATATGTTAAATAAAATTGATTAATGAAATATAATATTAAACCTGTACTCACCGTCTAATAGTTTGATAAAATAATGTTGGTAAAGGTTAAATAGATGTACTTTAAAGAATAAATATAAACTTGTACTTACACTCTAATAATTTAATAAAATAAAATTAATTGGTAAAATATTTTTAAATAAATATATCAAACTTATACTCACCCGCTAGAGTTTAATAAAATAAATAAGTTAAAATGAATTAGAAAAGTTTTAGAAGATAAATATAATAAAATTATACTCACCCTCTAATAATTTAATAAAATAATAAATTATATAATCGATTGGAAAATATCATTTAAAAGCAAATATTATACATGCACTTACCCACTAATGTTTAAAAATAAATTACTAATATGATTAGAAAATATTTTTAAAACGAATATAATAAAACGTGTACTTACGGGCTATATGTTTAATAAATAGGTTATACGGTAAAATCAATTAAAGAAAGAAACTTTACAAAAATAATATAATAAAACTTATATTCACCATCTAAGTTTAATAAAATAAATAGGTTATAAATAAAGAACGTTAATTTAAAAAAAATAATAAGTAAGATAATTTATACTTACAGCCTAATAATTGATTAATAAATAAGTTAAAAAATTTGGTTAGAGAAATAACTTAATAAACAATATAAAACTTCTACGGCACTCACATTCTATTAATTAAACAGAGATAAATAATAAAATCGATTAGAGAAATAATTTTCAAGAAAACAAATATTACAAAACTTACTTACCCACTAAATTTAATAAAATAAATAAGTTGTAAATATATTATAGAAATTTTATTTAAAAAAACAATATATATAAAACATACTTACAATCTATATTAATAAAATTTGGATTATAAATCAATTAGAGAATATATATCTAAAGAACAAATATGCACCCTATACTCACCGACTAAAGGTATGACGAAATATTATAAATCGATTAGAGAAATGTTTGAAAAAATAAATTAATAAAACTTATACTTACAATCTAATAGTTTAATAAAATATGGGTCATAAAAATTATAAAATCATTAAAAAATATTGTTTCAAAAAAACAAATATAACAAAATTATACTTACAGCCTAAGTTTAATAAATAACGAGTTATAAAATCAATCGGGAAATATCTTTACCAAATTCATAATAAAATTTATACTCACAGTCTAATTAATTAATAAAATAATAATTATAAGTCGATTGGAGTTTTTTAAATATATATATAACTTATACTTACCGACTAATTAAAAAAATAACAGGTTATAAATATATCAGAGAAATGTTATTTTTTAAAATATATAATAAAACTTATACTCACTATCTAAACAAATTAGAAAATCAATTAGAGAATGTTTAAGATAACAAATATAATAAACTTATGCTACTCACAGGCTAATAATTCAATAAATAAATTGATTAGAAATAGTTTTTTTTTAAAAAAAAAAACAAAATATTAATACTTATACTAACGTACTAATAGTTTAAAAAATAATTTCATTATAAAATTAGTAATAGACGCCTTTAAAAAAATAAATATAATAAAATTTATACTTACTTTCTAATTGTTAGTTTAATAAAATAAATTATATTTTTAAAATTGATTAGAAAATGTTTTTAAAGAAAACAAATAATAATACTTATACTCACGCCCTAAGTTTAAAAAAATAATTATATAATTAGTAGAAGAAACGCCTTAAATAAGTATAATGAAATTGAAATTTATACTTGCCATCTAATAGTTAGTTTAATAAAACAAATAGATTATAAAATGAATCGATGAAATTTTATTCAAAAAATAGTATAAATAACCCATACTTACTTTCTAATAGTTTAATTAATAAACAAACAATAAAAATATATTATAGGAATAATTTTTAAAAAGTAATATATAATAAAACTTATACATACGGCCTAATGGTTTAATAAAATAAATATATATATAATCGATTAGCAAAATTATTTGAAAAACCAAATAATAAGATTAATACTCACAGCCTAATGATTTAAAAAATAAATAGGTTATAATAAAATTTTTGATTATGTATAAAATAAATATTATAAAACTTATACTCACAGGCTAGTAGTTTAATTAAAAAAAATAGTTATTAAATCGATTGGAAATGTTATTTAAAATAACTATTATTAAACTCATACTCACTAACTAATAATTTAATAAATTAAGATTATTAGTGAAACGTTTTAAAAAACGATATAATTAAACTTATACTTACTCACTAAAATTTAATAAAAAATAGGTTATAAAATCGATCGGATAAATGTTTAAGAAACAATATAATAATACTTATACTTACCGCCTAATAGTTTAATAAAATAAAAGTTGTAATTCGCATTAGTGTAATTTTATTTTAGAAAAAAATTATTGTAAAACATATACTCACCACCTAACAGTTTAAAAAATCATTAGATTATATAATTATAAATGCAATATATATATATTATTAAACCTATACTCACCAACTAAAAGTTTAGTCAAATAATAAATTAGAAAATGGATTAGAAAATGCTTTTTATTATTAAACGTATACTCACTGACTAATAGTTTAATAAATATATTAGAATTAATTAGAAAAGGTATTAAAAAAGCAATATAATAAAACACATATTACCTCCTAACAATTTGGAAAATATATATTAAAATAATTAACAAAAAATGTTTTAAAATAATTTAATAAAACTCTCTTACCGCCTAATAGTTTGATTAAATAAATTAGTTATAAAATGCATTTAAAAAATATTTAAAAACAAATATAGTAAAACATACATCCTAAGTCAATTATAAGATAATTAGAGAAGCGCTTAAATAGAAATATTGTTTTAAAAAACAAAGATAAAAAAAAACCCATGCTTACCGGCTAACAGTTGATAGGTATTGATTAATCTAAATGCCACATTTGGAAGTACAGTAATATATTAAACTCTGATGCGTACCTCCTAATAAATTAAAATATGTAAAGGAGAAGTTAATGATAATGCTTAAATAGACTTGTATGGATAAAACAAAGTTAACATTTACTTTTATGAATTTCAGGGAGCGCATCTCCTAATAATTATTAGAAAGCACAAATATTTGTTAGTAAATATTCTTGGAAGGATATCTATAATAAAAACAAAAGCAAATATTCTTATAAAACGAAAGGAAAAATAGTTAAATTTACTTTTTTGATCCGCGATGGTTACGGAAA